TATGTCTATGAGTTATGGGATGAGGAGACGATAAGAAAGATTCTAGGTTTCTTCACTCCCAGAAACATGAGAATTGATGTAGTAACAAAATCCTTCAAGCTAAATGGTACCATGTTCTGTTCTATTTAGTCATCATGTTCTTATTGTAAAATATTGGACCATATTTCTATATTCCAAGAGTCTAAGAACAATGACGATCTAATTTGAAGTCATATGGCTTTCTTTGATTTGTAACTACCGGTTGGTTGGATTGTCCCTTTTACATTGTAAATTCCCACAATTATCATGTTTCTTATGTTATGTTAATTTTGTTTAACTAAAATGTGCTTAATTTCTTTTATTTATACTGATAATTATGGGAAAGCAACTGAGTTCATATACTCTCTGACACACAATGTGTGTCGTCTTCATTTATGACAAGGGCTTCAATGACACGCAATGTAAGTCATACATGCATGTCATAAATTTATGACACACAAATGTGTGTCATCTTCATTTATGACAAGGGCTTCAATGACACACAATGCGCGTCATAAATGCGTGTCATAAATTCGCATCATAAATTTATGACACACAGTTGCGCGTTATCTTAAATTCATGTCGGTGGCTTCAACAACAGGCAAATGTGTGTCATGTGCACCCATAGATGACGCGCAATGCGCGTCATTAAAGGGATTTTTTCTACTAGTGTCATTAAATTTGCAAAACACCCTAAAATGTTAAATCATGATAATCTATTAAACTTTACATTCGAATTCACTTTCGAGAATACTAGTAGTAGAATGGGCGCGAAGAGTACCATTTTATATAGGTAGTGCATCCAAAACAACATTCGAACGAAACGTGAACTCGAAATAAATCGAGCCTTCTTCTAAAAAATAATGATAATGATTTATTTGTTCTTTCTATTTTAATTTAAATAATGATAGTGCATGTTGCTTTAAATAGTATGTTATCTTATGTAATCATTGATATTTAATTTTTATTCGATTTATGTTCTTTTTTATATAACATTAATGGGGGAATACTCTTGAATAAAGAAGAATATATGAGATAGTTTTCCCATTGGACGATGTGCAAATCCCGTAATTTCTTCCCAAATTAAAGAATTTTTCCTAAATAATAGTTCGAAAAAAATTAATTAAGGTTCAATAAATGGATTATATTCGAATTTGTAGTTTCTACTGCCACAACAATATATAAGCGAATAGGTACCAATTTTGGGCATTGCGGTGGTATTTTTCTTCCCCATGCGTAATCGACTCCCGAACTCGTTAAAATGATTTTTTGGTAAATGAAGACCAATTTTATGTCTTTTAAATGATTTTTAAAATTCGCTTAAAAGATATTTTTAAGGTACTCGACCTACCTATTTTAAAGGCCAATGGCGACTCCAAATCAATCTAATCGAATTAATTTAAAATGAATATTTTCAAAAAAAAAAAGTCATAATCAAATCTTCTTTTAAAATGTCAAAAATGCTTTTAAGATAAAAAGGACATTACGACTACGGATGGGCATGGGACTCGAACCCGACGGGTTCTTACCCGACCCGACCGATCGAGTTGGGTTTTTAAAAAAAAATTGGGTTCAGGTCGGGTCGGGTCGAATTTGAGTTTAGGGTGAAAAATACCCGACCCGACCCGATCCAGAAAAATATAATTTTACCTTATATATTTAGGAATAATTTCAATAATACCCCTCTATATTATTTTTTTTCAATTAAATCACTGTTTTTATTGAATAAAAATAATTTTTATATTTTGGGTCGGGTCGGATCAGGTTTGAATTTTATCTCAAAAATCGGGTCGAGTTTGGGTCGGTTCAGGTGAAGGATGTAAAATTTTTGGGTCGGGTCAGGTTGGTCGAAACCTAACCCAAACCCGACCCATGTCCAACCCTAGTTACGACACCTAATGACCTATTGCATTCATTTGGTAGTTCTGTATTACTAAGCTTCTCGAAGCTCACTCTGTTACTTACCATTATAGGTTAAAGGAAATGACATTGTGCTGCTTTTGACATCAGTCTTGGAAGTTCTTTCTTGCATTGTTTGCGGAGTACGGTTCACTGGGGGCATGTAGGTCACATATGTTTTTATATTGGAGTTTGTAACTTAATTTGATAATGTGTATTACTTAATTATGTTTTCAATATATGAATGATTTTCTGAACTTGTATTTTTATTTATAAATTGTTTTACAATTTTAAACAGTTTAACAAAAAAAATTAAATTTCCCTGAAATTTTAGTATAGGTCGCTTCGGTGGCTCTAATGTAACACATCAAATCGGATCATGTCACCCATATCAGTCTGAGGATGTTACATTGTTAATTAAAAATCTGAATTGTTATCTTATATTTTAAAAACAAATATGAATTTTCTATTTTTGGAATTATTAATTAAAAATATTGAAATATATATATTAAAATAAAATTTTTAGTTATAATTGATTGGTCAAATAAGCTATTTTTTAATTAATTTAGCATGCTATGCCACCCCCTTGACAACATTTAATGTTTGGTATCTATTTTTTAACAAAATTCAAAATTTAATGTCTATTTTGTAACTTTTAAAACTCTAATGAAAAATAACATTATCTTAAAAAATTAATGATCATTTATGAATTTTAAATTATTAAAATATTAGTAGTGCATATCAGTATATATCATTAGTTATACATATCGATGTGTGTCATGTATTGTGGACTTGTCCCTTTTCTTGTTATTCTTTATCGCACTATTGTAATAACATTCAAATTATATTATGTGAAAAATAAAGTATTCATCATTTAATAATTAATTAAAATTTAGAAAATAATCTTTAAAAGTAAAACAAATAAAATTAATAAAATATATTTTACAATGATTTTTAATGAGTTTTTCTTTTTAAGTATCTAATTAGTAGCTAAAATTAAAATTTAATAATAACCGTTAACATAATATATCAAATTTTGAGTATCTAATTAATATTTAATTTTAACTCAAATCAACTTGACTCAATTGAATAAGTAAAAACATTACAACAAGTTGAATGTTTTATATGGATTAAAAATATTTTTTATGCTCAATTGATCTCAATCACGTTAAAATCTTTTCATGGGACAAATCCACCTACTTGGATGGAGAAATATGTAAATGAAAAAGAGATGACGACGAAGAAGAATTTTTTTGTAGTAAATTTTATTCATTTTTTAAATTATAATTTTTAAAATAAATTATAAACCATTTGAAGCCTTATCTTCTGCCCTTTTATCTTCTTGATCACCATACCTATCTTATTCATTATCCCTTTCAACACAACCCATTTATGCTCTATCCATTTCAACATCACTCATTTCTACTCATCTCAACATTACCCATTTTCACACTACTTCTTCAACGAGCTCACTTTCTGAAGCTCTTCTTTGGATTTACAGTTGGTTCATTGTCTTCGATTCCCTGTCGACAGAAGCTAATAAGTCGGGTTCTGATAACCTGCCAGCCTTTTTGGTCACAACCCACTCATAAGAGCTACTCAAGTGGAATAGTCTTGATACTATTGCAATGAATTTGGTAACAGATATAGTATTTTCGAATAGTAGATAAGGAACAATGAAAGGGAATGATTTTGGGGCAAGAAGAATATTGGGGAATGACATAAAAACAAGTGCATAACAAATAACCCAAACAGGAAGCTCGACCTTCGGTACGAACATGGTTAGAGGAAGAATTGCGCAGAACAATGTGAAGAAGTAGAACGAAAGGATAAGTTTCCTCAACAAAAAAGAATAACATTATTAAATTTGCTTTCTTCCATATCGCTATCTGCAGAATTAAAGGTACTTTAGTATACTGTAAAGAAATCATAAACCCCAAATACTTAAAGTTGTGTAACAATTTTACCTTGAAACCATCGATGTTGTTGCTTCCTGTATGCTTCATATGACTCAGGGACTTTACGACGGATCTAAATGTTTTACGCAGTAAACAAATAGTCGTCATGGGATTCCCTAAATCTTCCACTGAAAGTTTACACGCCTAAACTTGATCATTTCTAGATATTATTTTTGAATTTGAGTTTTTACTGAAAAATAAGACTAATCTAAGTAAACTAAATGCGACATAAAGAAATTAGGATTGCATAGAATGGGTTTGTACCTTTAGGTCATTAAGGAAGATGAATTTCCAACCATTGAGACGTCCTCGAACATCTATGTTCATGTCTTCTACAGTTGTTATTTCAAGTCAGCCTCTAGATTCTTCAAGAGCTTTAATTCTCCAAACTCCATCAGTTCTGTTGAAACCAAAGAAATTTAAAAAGAAATTCCATTAACTTGCTGTTCGACTACGAAGTGGAAACATAAGTTAATGTTCTGGAGACGAGTCAACAAATTCTTGTCCTTGTTAACAAAACACCATCTAGCCTGAACTAGCCCTAACCTAGAATTGTCCTACGAGACAAGGAAGACATACAAGGTAAAAAGCCTGATAAGCTGATAATAGATAAGGAACTTGAACTGAAACGATTCTAGTTTGTATCTTTTCACCTTGAAATGTGGCACAGTTTGCTTTAGAAAATGTGGGTTTTTTCATCTTCCATTTTCACCTTAGTTGGATTTTTTCTTAAGAATTTTCTAAAAAAATTTAAACCAAAAAGATGAATGAAAATATGTTAAATTAGGTTTAGAGATTGAAATTTTATTTAAAGGTGAAGAGATGATTGTTTAAAACTTTTGGTTTTTCACCGTAGTAATTCAAGTAAACAGTTATTGTATTTTTATTCATATTTGTTAACAATTGTTAATGTGAGTGATCAATTTATAACAAATCAATAATGTTTATCGTAATTTTGATTCATTATTTTCTCTTCTCTTGTAAATCTAAAACCCCGAGAAAATTTAAGAAGTGAGAATTAATTGGAATTTAGTTTATTTGAATTACATAGCTTTTTCCAGGATGGGTTTAGTATTTATTGTATTTGCTTGCAATCTTGCATTTTCTCTTTTGGGAGGGTTAATGGTAAGAGCAAATTTATGCATTAAATTCTTGAAATTTGAAGTAAGGGAGGCTGTGCTTTTTATGCTTATTAGTCCCCGTTTTTGTTGTAACTGAATTAAATAGATTTACTTTGGCTTTCATGTGTACCTTGTTAGATGGGGTGGTTGTAAGTGGGATTAGCAGGCAGAGATGATGAAATAATTGCCTTGCAGATCTGCTACCGTCGGTTTACTTTGCAGATTCAGTTATCACCAGATTACATCATTGTTGTTACTATCAACCAGTAACTTATTTGCACAAAGGCGTTACCAACTTCCTGATTTAGAGGTTTTTGGTCCCTTCAGTTAAGTTGGTACCGTCTTTACAAACATGCCATATTATATACAGAGGCTTCATAATACTTGCAGAAAGTCATTCTCTCCCAATGGCCCTGTTTCCGATGAAGCTCTTGAAAGAGTTCGTACTATGCTAGAGGTATTCACTATTGATTCTTTCTTCGTTCTTGCTTGTTCGTTGAGCTTATGGTTGAACTCAGTCTTCTTTGCTTTATTAGTTATTATAACTGAGATATAATCATGTCGAAAGTAATTCTCAGTTTTCAGCATGTTTTTGGAACTAGTGATTTTTAAATACTATGGAAGCTATTTTTTTAAGCATTTGACCGTGTTGTTATTTTTTTCATCAAAATTAAAACGTGTGAATTTACTATTAGGTTAATTAATTTAATTCAGCTGGATCTTTCTTTGGATGACATCAACTATATTAAGTTGCTTCATGCTACTCCTAGTATGTCAATGATCTACCAATAAATAGCACCACACGTTTTGGCTGATCAGGATACCAAGTTTCCATGTGCTTATAATTAAAACCAAGAAAAAAACAATAAAATACTTTCATTTTTGGGGATGTTAAGCTTGTTCAAATTATTGTCCTACAGGAAGAGGGTCTGACATGATTTAATGGGCAAAATGTTTCCATATTTCACGAGATTTTATTACAAAATTATGAACTTTTATCGACAAAGTGAATTTTAGTAGTGAGAAGTCTGTTATCCCTCCCACCAAGACCTATTTCAAAACTTCATTATGCTTTCAATGAAGTAATCTTCCTTTTCTCTTGTATTAAAGTTAATGATATCAACTATCATATCTGATGGCAAATGATCATTGCTAGTTGACTTTAGGCATTAAAAATCAACCTTCAAAATATTAGCTCCTAGTCATCTTTGAAGGACTTGTATCTTTGAGCATTTAGCTTGCTGCATGACAAGTTAAAATCGCAAAATTGTTTTGCTTTCTCCAAATTGAATGTCCACTCAATTATTGTGGAAAATTTTCCGTTGTCTACTTGCTATACACAATGACAATTATTTAGCATTTGAGTGTTTCTAGATATAAAATAGAAAACAATGGTTGCAGTGTTCTGTATTTTTCCTTTCTGTTATGTGGCCGGAGGATAATCTATGTACACTAACTGCGAATCTTTTTTTCCTATAATAGAGGTAAATCAATCCTTGTGAGTGTTGTAAACTATTGTTAGACTAATGGTATCAGATTAAGATGTCATTGAGAATGATTATATTATTCTAAGTTTAAATACTAATTACCAGGATATACCATAACATTAAAGTGCTCTTCTCGGTGGAGGCGATTATTACAACTTTCGTGTTGTTCGATTAACTGTGCTATTTTTTTAACCACGGAATATGAAACTCCTTGAATTTTTAGTTTCCACATGAAGTGATGAAATCTAGTTCCATAGCTTATTCAATGCATTTTAACATATAATGTCATTTTATTTCAGAGAAAATGAAGCCTTCTGATGTAGGTCTGGAACAGGTGGCGCAAATGGTACGTAATTGGTCTAGTCTTGTAGAGCGGAATGGAACCCTTCTGTCTTTGCCACCAATTAAGTATCTGCACTTGCATGAGTGTGGCAGCTTCTCTGTAAGCACAAACTTTATGTTACCTATCACCTTTATTACTAAAGATATTTTACTATTATTGAGGACATCACTTTTTTAGAGTTTTAAAGTGAGGGAGTTGCATTTAGCTGGAAATCTCCTAGAATTTATTAAAATGAAGTCTTAAGTTGCATTACAAGCTATCGTCGGGCCTTCATTTTCTTATTTTCTCTTTCTCCTCATATAGGAATTTTTTGTATGCCACCTTCCTCTATCATACCTCTGCACAATCATCCAGGAATGACAGTGCTGAGCAGGCTTATCTATGGCTCATTATACGCAAAGTTGTATGATTGGCTTGACCCAACAGAGGCTGAAGATCCACTACAAGGTGTGTTTTAACATATCCATGTTTCTTTGATGCATGTTAACTAAACCAAAACTAAGGATGTCCATAGAATAATATTCTCTTATGTATAAATTTGTTATCAAATTTATATGTTTGTATCCCATTGACCCATTGATGATAACATCCTTTATATTCCTTGAAACCTCATGAGTCCCTTTTCTAATTTATTATTCTTTCCCAAATGCCATTGTTTCAGGAGTTTTTTTCCTGGTAATTTGTTCCAGAAGATTAGTACATGGAGTTCTGTTAAACTTATGATGTTAGAAATCCTATGTAACTGCTGTTCTTCCAATTATATTATAGGATTAGTGTTCATTTAAAATTTGAGAGAGAAATGGGCCCTTTAGATCTACATTTGCTTTGTGATATACAGTTTTGTATAGCCTGCATTTAATTTAGTTATGTACTGGTGGTTTGTTTGTTTAAAAATAACAGAGAAAATATTATGAGATTGAAATTTACTTGATCGAAAAGTTGGTTGGAATAGGAGGAAGAAGACATAGGTAATACTGAATGTGCTAATTGGTGGCTGTCTCCTTCTTATAGCTAATGACTCTTTAAATAGGGTAGATGTATTGTAAAGAGCCTTTTTCCTAGAATCTAAGGAAATGAGAGGCCTGTTCAATTCCACATCTTTGTTCAGATGTAGTTACTTCCAGCTTATTGAGAGTGCTTGTGATATATCTTCTTAACTGATTTGGTGAAATATTTGGAGGCTGCTGAACTTATCTTGGATGTGCACAGTTATATTCAAATGGAATTTCTATATATAAATAAAGAATGCAAGATATTGTTTGAAAGCAAACCAGACCAAATGAATGATTATAGAAGGCAACCAAAGGATATCTTTTGACCTTTGATGAGATTTTAATTGAGTTCAGCTTGGGTTTATAATTAGAATTTTTAAATGGAATTTGATACCATCCAAGTCTTGGCCCCCGATTAAAAATTAGAAACAGGGATACACAGAGCTGTTTTAGTTATAAATTTAGGATCAAATAATTTCTTGGGGTAAATTTGTTTGACTTCAACTTGGTGCTCACAGAGTGTAGGGAAGTCGACAAACTTGCTAATGAAGAAAGTTGCTATTCCATTTAGGGGTTTTATGGTGTAATCTGACATTTCAGAGGTGTGGTAAGGTGGTTGCCCAGTGAATGCTGCTTTTACTTTTTTAATTAATTAATTTATTAAATCTGGGTTGGATCTTTTTCTGACTAACAGGAGTAATTATTGGTGGCCAATGGCAACTGAACCTACCTATCTATCACCAACTAAAGTAGTTGCTTGTTCTACAAATGCAATAATATTGATAATACAAAGTGTTGATGCATCTTTGATTTTGAATGATGTGTTTTCTCTTCAGCCTTCCATGGGTATAAGGGAGTTATTTTATATTTCTTGAATCTTTGACTTGGTTTGGTTATTCTTGGTGGTTTGTAGCAAGAGCTGCAAAGCTTGTTAAGGATACTGAGATGACAGCTCCTTGTGCAACCACAGTACTTTATCCCACAAGTGGAGGCAACATTCACTGTTTCAGGGCGAGGACTTCCTGTGCCATTTTTTATATTTTATCTCCACCATACTCTTCGGAGAATGGAAGACACTGCACTTACTTCCGGAGATCCCCAAGAAGGGATTTACCTGGTAAGAAATATAATTTTGAGCCTAGCCGTTGATGGTAGGTTGTAGTTATAATAATGTTGTGTCATGAAGAGAAACAATACTTGCTATTTTCTTATTGACTTGCTTATTTAAAATGAAGGGGGCATTGAAATGAATGGAGATGAGTTCTCGGAAGTGACTTGGTTAGAAGAGTTTCAGCCCCCCGACAACTTTGTGATTTGGAGAGGGCTGTACAAGGGTCCTGTTATTAGAACTTGAAATATTCTTGTACCATCCATCCAATATTCTAATGAACAACAAGAAACATGAATGGGACCATAGAAGTTAGGCATTTGGCGTTGTACATATTACCACACCAATTTAAACCTGTGATTTTACTGATGAATTCTTTGCACTTGATGAATTCTTTTTTACTTTTATCTTTTCGATTTCGTTTGCTGAACAAGGAGAGTTCATGATTGTCTTGTTTGTTGCCTCGGTGATAATTTTGGCTACTATATTCACCAAAATGTAACATCCAAGTTCGGGTCAGAATGGACAGATTTGGCAAAAAGGAGAACCTGTTATGTAAATCATTCATCTTTATCTTTCCTTCTTTCTATAGAAAAATCCCCCTTACCTTTTTAGCATGATTTGTGTAGAACCGTGATTTTTTCTTAAATAACTTGTCATATATCTCAGCTGAAGGTACCAGGGTATGATGAGAATTCTTTTATTATTTCTGAAGTTCAGATAATCAGGAGTGCATGCAAAATTCAACTCATAAATTGTTACACGTTTGGATAATCAGTAACTAAACCTAATTTAGTGGGGAAAAATGCTTCAAGCTCTCGTGAGTGAGGAAAATCAAACTCAAAAGAGGTTGAATTGAGGTTGTGAAATGTCTTATTACTCTTGTGAACCAAAAAGCTCTTAGAGATGCTAACTTTGCTTGAAAGTTGTGACCACCATTGCCAATCGAGACTAACTTTCATCACAACATCATTGGCATCATTGCATCCTCTATCAAAACACCAAACAAGGTAAAGAAAAAACAAAGGGATCCATCCATTGGAGGTGGCAACCATCTTAACTTCTCCATTATTTGAAACGGTCGTCGTATCTGCAACCACATATGATTTCTCTGACATTGAGTGTCTAAAAACCGAACAAAAACCCGATGCAACGTTGAAGTCGTCACCAAATTCGATGATGATTTATTTGGTGAAACAAATTACATGTGAAGAAAAGTAACAAGTAAAAAAGAAGATATATTGTTCTCTCCGATTACCTCATTATCTTGAGTCGACGAGGAAAATGGTGAGGTTGAAAGGAACAATATGACTGATAAGGGGGCGATCGATTAGGGTGAGGGTGAGATCTACGAGGATGAAGGTGATGGTTTAGGGTTTGATAATTATATATGGTTTATGGATTAGGGTTTAGTGATTGATATTAGGGTTTTCATTTTTTATTGTAAATCCTACATGTCATAGCAAAAAATTAATAAAATAAGTCATGTCATAGCAAAATGTTAATAAAATAAGTCATGTTATCACGCTTTTTATGATTTAATGGTAAAATGACTAAAACATAAGCAATTCAAAAATTTGGTGATTAAATTGAAATATTTTAAATTTTAGTAACCAAAATAGGAATGAGGTTAAAGTTTAATGATGAAATTTATAATTTACCTTACAAATCAACTTATATACCACATTCCATAGGCTAGTCAATTTTAAAGTGTTTGATAGGATGGAAAAATGGAAGTATGTAAGTAGTATGGACGAAGTGGCCAGATGGAATAGAAACAAGAAGGATACATACGCAATTTTACCAAAGTATCACCATTAAAATAATTAATTATCAAATTGACACTATTTTTTATTAATTCCTAAAATGACACCCTGTGGCTGACTGGGTGTAACATCTTTTCCTATATTAGATTTTTTTTTCCGAAAATCTTTTAGAGAATTAAAATATTCATTTGAACTATTGAGAAATGTATCTAAATCGGTTGAGTTTGTTAGATTAAATGATGGTTCGATCCCGCGGCGGATGGAGGCTTTGCTCAAGGAGAGCACATGTCCATCATGAAAATTGAATTTTTTTTTATGTTAGTAGTTTATTTTATTGAAAATGTTCACCCTATAATTTTATTTGTGTCCACTCCATACAAAGAAAATATGTTAATAATATGCATATGCCCACCATAAAAAATATTTCTAGATTTGCCACTGGTTTTATCAAGATTAAAATTGAAAGTTTAGACTAAATCGTAAAGGAAGTAAAAGAAGAGGAATTGCATAGCATTTATTCCAAAAACCTATTATAGTGAGAAACGATGGAAAAACAATGGCTAGATGTCAAGCGGTTATAATGTAGAAATTAGTAAATTGATGAATATTTCAGATTTCGATAATTTTGAAAATCATTTTATAATATTAGTAAATTAGACGTTTAATGAAAAACACCATTTCCATTGATTGGAGATACGTGGTTTTGTTCTTCATCTTCACCAAAATTATTTTAATTCTTATTGATGATACAATGAATAACAAGTGAGAAAAACTTCAAAATTCTCCAATTTCCCTTAACAGTGTGAATTCAAGTCTACTTCTTTAATCCATAAGTATCTAGCTATCTTTTGACACCTACCATCCTTAGATAACAGGGACGGAACCAAGATTCTAGTAATTTAAGAGGGACAAAACATAATGAACAATAAAAAATAGGGAGGACAAAATCAAAATTTGAAAGTCTGAATATGTATTTATTCTTATATATTTTTAATAAAAAAAATTAAGGGACAGTAGCCCCTGGGACCACATATAGTTCCGTCCCTGCTTGGTAAATTCTTTTAAGAGATTCATGCATGTTTTATTTTCTTCTAAACTTTGATATTGGCTTTTGATGTTTTAATTTGTCTTTAATGGTATGTTTTTTTTTCGCTTTTTTTTTTTTTACTTTAAGAAGATTTGATGAAAATCTCCTAGGCAAAGGGAAAACTAAGATATTTGAGTAATTCGTTAATCTGAGGTATATCATAAGCCGAGATTAAGTGAGTGTAGATGATATCGAATATATATATATTGTTTTGATATTTAATTATGTATGCTTTAATTACAATTTTAGCTCGAAATCAAGAAAATGACTAGCATATATATGAATTGAGGAGGTATGCCTTTGTATGTTTCGACAAAAAAAAATTGATATTATACTATATTTGAACATATTTGTAACACCTCAAAACTTTAACATAGCTTACCAAAAGGCATATATCACAAGACATGAATATCATATTTTGACACAATGGCAAACTCTATACACACGGGAAGACTCATCACAAGCCTTCCTCTCCACAATTCATGCAAGACAATAATTTAAGTGCATTCACCTTAACCTAGCTTATCAACTACCAAAATAACTTTGAGAGAGCTTCCTAACCTTCTTCTTGCACAATTAATTTTGACCTTCAAAGTCTCTTTTGGAGCTAGAGAACAATATACACATAAATTTGTCAATAACTATGCATCACAACCATACTCGTATATGTATCAGTTATGCACAATAAATGATTTCAACATGGAATAATGGAGTTTGGTGAACCTCTCTACAAGCATTAACTCCAACATTCATTCTTTTGTCCATTAAACCCTATTCTCTCATTCTAAAACTTATGTTAGTTTTCTAGGGTTTTAACCTCGCTTTCTAAAAAAACTTAATATTATACTTATTTTAAAGGAAATTCAATGGGAAACATTTTTTTTATTTTATAAGGCTTAGTATAAAAATAAGTGACTAAACTATATAAATTTTCTTATTTAGGTGCTTAAATTATTTTTCGGTCAATCCAGGTGCATAACGTTAAACATTATCATTTTAGGTGTCCCAACCGTGATGGCTGTTAAAAAACTTTGTTGAGTGACACATGTCGTATTTATATAATTTTGAAAATTTTGTTTAAAATAAAAAACTTAAAATTATAAAAATTAAGAAACCCCAAATTTTAAGAAATCTTAAAAAAGACCTCATAACTTTGAAAACCTTAATTTCAATCCATATATCCACGTCGGCCACTGCCCTTTGCCTTCAATGATTCCGTCAACTGAACCTACCCCGACCGTGCCTCCACCCGACGACCACCCACCCGATGAACAACCAACAATGAACCCCAATTGCGATTTAAAGTCGACAAACAAAATGGAAAATCATGACATTTGTGCTACCCCACGAGATCCGATGACACGAGTGACGGTAAGGACGATGTCGATCAAAAAAGAAGCGGCGCCGGCAACAATGTAGAAACTAGGGTTTTTCTTTTTTCTTTTTATTAATTTAAGGTAAGTACAAGATAGTATTTGTTCAAAGATAACTCTCAACCATTTGAAATTGAACGTTCACACCCTTGACATTCATGGTGCTCAAACATAGGACCTCAAGGAATAACAGCAATTCCTTTACCACCAAGGTCGCTTAGTTCGTGCAAAAACTAGGATTAGAGTTAGGGATCTGAGATGATTTTTGACATTTTTAGGGATTTTTTTTGTAATTTTAAAGAAATTAGATTTTTTAAAAGAAATTATATTTTTAAGGTTTTTATTTAATTTTTTTCTAAATTACCATCAAGTGACATTTAAAATGGTAACGTTTGTAACGTTAGACACTTGGATTGATTGAAAAATAGTTTAAATACGTGGACACATATTTTTATATTAAGCCATTTTTTAATGACCTCAAATCCAACTAGATTAGAGGGAAATGAAAAAAAACAGTTGAGAAACCCTTACCTCTATAGCTTGTCACCGTTTTGAAGCCTTGGGGAAGAAGATGAGCTTTTTGGTTCATCTTTTCCTATCTCATATTCAATATAAACTTAATTTTGAAATAAAAATAATTCATACATATTTAATAAATCCAATGATCAATAATAAAGATGATAAATCCAATCTAGATTTCATGGCTCTCACATATTAGGGGTGTTCAATAGTCGGTTAGATAATTTTTATTAATCGAATTAATATAAAAAATTCTTTAACCGTTTATTGAATTTAACATTTTTTAAATCATTAATCGAACTGAAAAAAATTTGATTAACTCGGCCGATGACCAAATTAAATGAATTTTTTACAATTTTTTATTTAGATTAATTTGAGTTTAATAAAGATATATTTATTTGGGTTAAAATTTAATTAGGTCTTAACAATTTAATAGGTCTACAGTGGTTAAAAATAGTTGGATCTTAATTATTAAAGGGTTTAGCTTAAAATATGTATTTAATATATATAATATATTATATTTTTAGTTAATTCAGTTAATTAACCTATTTTAAATCGAATTAATCGTTAATAAAATATTGAAAACAAATTAACCGTTTTCTGACTGAACTAATTCGGTGGCCG